CTCGAAGAACAATGTGTTGTGCGTTGCTGCGCGTTGCTACGCGTCCCAACGCGTTTCAGCTCCATGGCAGTGCTCTCGACGCGTCAGTGACACGCGCATTCCACGTCGTTTGCCTATGTGGCTCTGGCGGGCTGACACGTTGCCTCTGACCTCCAGTTCTAACATGTTCCTGGCCGGCATTTGGTTTCATGAACGAGCCACCAACGTACTGCACCCCGCAACGACTCCACCTGCGCATTACTCACACCAGACTCAGCGGAAATTCAATTCGATAGCCGCACGGTCCGTTCAACTCGGAACTCGCCGCCGCTCAAGGAAGCTGATTTTCAATGCCTACGTTCAAGCCGCTCAAACAGGCTCAAGCTGCATGAGTTGCTTAAACAGCTCGAGCCGCTTAAGCCATGAGTGGCCATTACCATTCATGTAGTGTATGTAGCACACGTGAATAATTGTATTGGCGCAGCTTAAGCTACGGCTTAAGTGGCTTAAGAACCGGTTTAGTTGAGACCCATTTCGCTTAAGCGACCTTGAGCAGGGTTTATCGCTCGAAAGGTTTGGAATCTGGATGCCGGTTGTTGACCTTGATATAGAAGCACCGCAACTTTTCCTCTTTCTTCTCTCGTCCTTCCTCTCTTCACACACACGAGTATGAGATTCCCAGTCTTCCTCAAAATACTGCGCCTAAGATCTAATCTTAAGGATTTCTGACAGCAGAAAAGGAACTCGGCCGACGGCAGCAACATGTTCTCGTCCTAAATGTTCGAGTTCCAAAAGATCGCGAGTCATCTCACTGTGACATTCACCTCATTCAATGTATTCGATTCTGCAGTGGTACGTAATATGTGCACGAATCCAATCTTACAAAAGAACGTAACCTTCAGTGGAATCAAAGTCGATCGAGTCGGTGTTCTCATTTTCACCCCCACTTCCCTCCAGATGTTCGAGATGGGCTGACCCCCCACCGCTTATCCGCCTTCCCTTCTTCACGCTTCCCAGATCCCTGCGCAGGCGGCCCGAGAAGAGCTTCACCTCCCCGCACAGCGTGCGCAGGAGAGAAGGCCTGCGCGAGGATTTCGGGGCGGCGGAAGTCGTCGCAGCCGGCAGGCGAGAGGCAGAGAAATGAGTAGGAGTCGATTTTGAGGGAGGAATAATGGTGGATTTTGCGGCGGGTGAAGGCGACGGAGAGGGAGAGCCCACACGCGCAGACACCGAGTCCGAGTTATCCCCGCTCACCCCGCGCCGCTGGGACTTAAAGCGCGGTGCGAGAGTTGGAGTGCGTTTCGGCCACGCGGGGGAAGCTGATTTGTTCGCTGCTGCGAAGGAAGAGAATGCGGGGGAAGAAGGTGCGGTGGGATTCGGAGGGACGGTCCGTTCAGTTTCCGAGTCGACAAGCGGGCGCCCCGCAGTATTGGAAGCGAACATGACCGCGAACGGGGCGACGCTCAGCAGCGCGTCAGTCTGCCAACCGTGCTCGCCAGCCGCCTGGGTGTGTGATGCGGTTGGCTGCGCATTCCCATCACCGATCCCCGCAAGCCACCACGGCGTCGACGCCCCTGGTGTCAGAGTCCCGCACGACGAGTCCGACCATGCCAACGTGGACGTGCTGGACGAGGCTCTTTGTAAAATCCTAGGGTCCGAGGGGTGGCGGTAAGATGTAAAAGCCGGCGGGCCGGGAACGTGCTCGGGATAGGATGTGTTAGAGGCGGAAGCGGTGGTAGATTGCGTTGCTAGAGGGCATGAAATTTGATTGGAAGGGAGACCCAACGGATACGAAGTGGAGAAAAACACGCACGACAATACGATGCTGTAGGAGCAAGCATCAGCAGCATCCAAGTCAAGGGCGGAGCCGGTGGTGCGCGTACTTGAGCTGGGGCGAACGAAGAGTAGGCGACGAGGGGAGCAATGCGGACGTGGAGAGCGCGGGTTCGGCGAAATCGCCCAGAACTCTGAAGGGCAGCTGCAGGGAATGCGTTCAAGTTAAGATGTTTTGTTATATGCTGGGTCGTTTTATACTGGACACAGAACAGGCGAAAGGGCTCAGCCCAGGCCCCGAACATGATGCACGGAGGATCCAGACACCAAGAAGTGTGACGTCAATCGAAGGAGTGTTTACTCGAACACCCAGAGTGGGAATGGGAACCACTCTTGGACAACGGAAGACCGGACACGTAGTACTAGTGAGCCCATATTTTGAAATCTGGATTGGAATTTTTCGGACATGGAGGCCGTGCACAACCGAAAAGGCTCCGCGCCAGTGGAAAGGGCAGCGCCAGCAAAAATGTGGGCTGAAACTCACCAGCTGACATGATGTGGAGCAGGCCGATCGGCCTGCCCGGCCCATCGTTCCCACTCTTACTCCAAGTGTTCTAACTGTGTTCTATTACACACCAGAACACATCATGGGGCTACACTTCTTAGCGCTCTGGATCCTCATTTGAATAGCCAGGGCACCAAAGCTTCCATGAGCGAATGAAAGCATCTACATCGTAACCACTACGGCAGGAGAGAGAAGCCACCATGCGACCTGATACATCAACGCACCTTTTTGGCTCACAGCCCCGCCGCACGTTGGGCGCCCACAATTGCTGGTCCGTGCACGGGCGCGCTCGGATCCTCCAAACTGGGCAATCAGTTGACACATGTTAGGATTTCATCAGTCCCCATCACCCTTTCCTCCCTCCTCCCGCGCGCGCTCGCCTTCGCCTCTGGGCCCCGGCTGGCTCTCGGGCTGTTCCCAGCTACTCTTCTTGATTATGTCCACCATTCTCTCGCTTCTCTGCCCCCCAATCCTTCTCGGTACTGCGGTGTTGGTGCTGCGGTGGCCGACATCCCCCGGATTGCATCCTCTATAAAACCTCGCCCGTTGCTGCTGCTCCCCCTAAATTTTACCACAGCCTAGATTATCAATACTCCTTTGTCCTCCTCATTTTTTGGCTCCCAAAACCGCCTCCTGCGACCACTGTCGTCCTCACCATTCCTCGCCTCATTTCAGGGCCTCCGGGCTATCCAGAACCGTACAATGGCCCACCTATCGTTCATCTCAAGGGCTTAGCGATGCTCCAGGCATCAGAGCATGCGCTACTGCGGCAGGGCATCGGCGGCGACGGTTTTTTGAGAAAAGAATGTGTGTCTAGGTAATACCACTGCCCGTTACTCATCTGACACTCCCAGTGGGATGTCGCAATGTGGTGCTCTCCGGATTCTGTATGGCTGTACGCACGTGGACGCCAACACGCGCTTCCTCTGCCCATTCCGCGCCATCACCTTCTCCAGCATCCGTTGGCGCCTACGCTTCAATTTTTTTTTTTTTTTGGCCTCGCAGCCCACTGTGACCTTGGACGTTGCCTATTCTCCCCCGCACGCCATTACGACCCCCCGCTCCTAGCCGTCCCGCGCACGCTCTTCTGCCGTCGTGCCCTTGCCCCAGCACTTCGTGTCAACTGCTCCCGTTGTCTTATTCTACTTCGATACTATGTGTCCTTCGCTTCCAATTACTTCATTTATCACTTTCAGAGCAGGTCGGACAGCAGCCACATTCATCTACTGTAAAATACAGGCTTGAAGCGTGTTTTGATTCCGGGTGCTCGTTTAAACTACCGAATCTGTACTTTTCCCAGGCAGAGTAATGTTAATATTACTTGATTTCCATGTTCTTTGGCGATCAAGTCTTTGGAGCGGGAAGACTGGGCTAAACAAGCGGGATTTCGGGCACCAACAAAAGCGTCTCTAGACGGAGATGCGCGCCGAACACGACAAAGAATATTTTATAGACGTGCTCTGACTTCAAAAAGTTGTGCTAAAGGTCAACCAACTCGGAGAATATGCACGGTTGGCCCACACAGGTAGGGGAATAAGTTATAATGGCTTCGAGCAGATGATCACTTTGATCGGACAATCAAGACAAAACCGCGTCGATAACGCTCAAGGATAGTCAATTCTGTCATTATAACATCATACAGGAGGTGTAGGAGGCCCACCAATCCAGAAAATGTCATTGGTTGCAGGTCCTTGATGCAGAATAAAAACTTGTATGAAAGTGTCCGTTGGGCAGCCTAAAACACTGAACAATATGCGACACGGGTTTTAAACTTTTTACCCTGGCCTCAATTCCCAACCTCGCATATTCTCGGATTTGGCGAAGTTTATTGACCCCATTATCAAGCTGGAGGACCAATATAAAGGCAGATAAGTGGTCATCGAGACTTGTTTTCTGTGCTAGAGACGCCTGTGACGGTCCTTCCAGATTCCATAGCAATCCAACCGTCACTCCATCTGCAAAATTTCAACTATACCTCGTACATGACTGAACGAGTTTGGAGATGCCTTCGGTCTGCTCAATCCTCGATTTTCTATATGGACCTATATGGACACATTGACAGTCTTGACGAGGTGATGCAAGGCTCTGTGGTGGGGAGTCCACACTTGCACTCCATACAATGGCGAAAAATCTGTATGGCAGGACAAGCCCGTTCGACTCGGGCCCGAACCATGCCTAGGAATTCCCTCGTTTTTGTCTGTAAAATCGACGCAACACACACAGGCCGAAGAACACTTTTTCTTGGATTTTCGCAGTAATGATCCTGGGACATGGACACAGCCAAGGTGTGGATTTGAACACCAGATGGAACCATTTTTTGACTTCAAATTTCTTGCGTACATTCAAGCTGATAAGTAGGTTGAGAAAGGCTCGGTGGTGGATGGTCCACAGCTGCACTCATTGTAACGTAAGGGAGGCCTAGGTTGCCTGTTCAAACCAGGCCCGAGCCATGAATATTTTCTGTTGTTGCTTTTTTGGCTTCGGTCTGCCCAGACTTTTTGTCTTGGGTTTAATTAAATTTTCCTCCTTTTCCTCCGTTCCTCGACGCTCCATCCATTTCACTGGTGCCTTATTTTGTTCATTATTTGGTTCTCCCAGTAGGTCGGTAGGTAGGTAAGTAGCATTACACCGCACAGTCCCGCCGGTATCCCGAACGAGAGCTTCGGATTCCCATGTCACTATCTCTTCGGGGGCAGAGTGGTAATACGTCCGCTTCTTATTTCCCAAAACATCCCAGCTGTGCGGAAGTCGCCTGTTCGAACCAGGCCCGAGCCATGCCTATGCACCTTCATTTTTTATTTATGAGCAGGGTTATTACCCTGCTCGTCTCTACTACCCGTGGCGCAATCATACTGTATGTAACTGCCCGTCCCCAAATCGAAGTAACAATCCATGCGGCATATCGGCTATGAATCGTATTTTTGAGCATCTATTGGTGATTTGAGTGTGCCGTGAGCACGAGTATGTACAAACACCAATTGCGATTTTTGGATGAATAAACTCAAGGTTAGAAGCATGCGAAGGAAGGCTCGTTGGTGGATGGTCCACACCTACAATCTATAGTTGATTTACGAAATGGTTTGTGGGAGAACCCGTTCGATTCGGGCCCGAGCCATATACATGCAAATCAAATTTGCGAACTTTTTGGTCCTCAAACACAAATGATGATTCATGCAGCCGTGGCCACCAACGCCGTAAGTGATTTCAACGAACCCAGTGAAGGAATTGAACCAGCTCAAAAATCCTCAATATTTTCTGCATATATTCAAGCTGATACGGAGGTGTAGGAAGGCTCGATGGTGGATGGTCCACATCTGTAAAACATGAACGGTCGGAATGGATGTATACAGGGGAGCCCGTTCGATTCGGGCCTGAGCTATGTACCCTAAAGTGTGACGTTTTTTTTGTGCTGTTCTTTCTCCATTTCTGGTCTGTGAGATGAGCAATTATTGCAACTGTCACTACTATTTCCTCAGAATTTCAACCCAGGCTGCAACTCTACTTCTTACCGAACCAGGTTATGAATTTTGTCGTGATTCAACCCCTGGCATATTCAAACATATTTGAGGGCACAAGTTAGAGGGATATCGGCTTGGTGGTGGATGGTCCACACCTGCAATGCATATGGGATTTTGAATGAGCCTTTGCGGGAGAGCCCGTTCGATTCGGGCCTGAGCCATGAGTTGGAAACCATTTGTGTTTTTTGTTCTCCCTCTCCAACTCTACTTCTTACCGAACCAGTTCGAGGATTTGGGACTGATTCCACAATTGGCATTTGCCAAGCATATTTGAGGACACAAGCTGAAAGATGTGAGCTCGATTGGATGGTCCACACCTGCAATCTATGATTGATTTCAAATGGTTTGTGGGAGAACCCGTTCGACTCGGGCCCGAGCCATGTACATGCAAATCAAATTTGCGAACTTTTCGGTTCAAACACAAATGATGATGCAACCCATGGCCACCAACACGGCAAGTTATTTCAACGAACCGTATGAATGGCTTGAACTAGCTCAATAATCTGATATTTCCTGCATACATTCAAGCCGATAAGGAGGTGGATGAAGGCTCGGTGGTGGATGGTCCACACCTGCAATACATGATCTGGCTCGGACTATTATTTGTAGGAGAGCCCGTTCGATTCGGGCCTGAGCCGTAGTTGGACTGCGCAGGTTTCTTTTTATCTGCGCGTTACCCTGGCATCTTCAAATTTCAATAATGGCTGCAGCTTAATTTGCACCCAATCAGGTCGTGGATTTTTGGACTGCGCCAAGCAAAATAAATCAAGGCAGGGATATCGGCTCGGTGGTGGATGGTCTACACCTGCGCCTAATAAACTGGCCGTTCCAACTGGTTGCGGGAAGAGTCCGTTCGACTCGGGCCCGAGCCATGTGCGGACATGTTTCGTTTTTTTCGTTCTCCCTCTCAATTTCTGATGTGTGAGATGAGCATTCAACTGTCACTACTATCTCCTCAGAATTTCAACCCAGGCTGCCACTCTACTTCTTACGGAACCAGGTTCAACATGGAGTTTTGGACTGATTCAACGTATGGCATTTGCCAAATATCTTTAAGGAACAAGCGGAAAGATATCGGCTCGGTGGTAGATGGTCTACACTTGCACTCCATGCCGCTATCTGAGACATCTACGCCGGAAAAGCCTGTTCGACTCGGGCCCGAGTCATGCGCTAGAAACTCGTGTTTTTTCTCTCTAAATGTTTGATCTGCGGGTAAACGATCCAACTATAACATCCTCGTATCTTCGAAATTTTAACCAAGGATAGAACTTCCTTCATTGCACCTGCTTGGCAATTTCGGAACTGATCCAATCCATGGTATTTTCAAGCATATATATTTGAGCGCACGAGTTAGAGGGATATCGGCTCGGTAGTGGATGGTCCACACCTCCCCTCATTGTAAGAGAGCCCAGGTTTCTGGAGGAGAGCCCGTTCGACTGGGGCCCGAGCCATATGAAGGAATGTAGGATTTTTTCTCTCTCTAAATTTGTGATCTGCGAGATCCAAAGGCTGTACCACCTTCCCATTTGCAAAATTGCAACCATGGTTCAGACCTTTACCTTCGTACACCGAACAAGCTTGGAGATGTTTTTGGTCTGGTCCATCCTCGATTTTCTATATGGACACATTGACAGTCTTGACGATGTGATGCAAGCCTCGGTGGTGGGGAGTCCACACCTGCACGCCATACAATGGCGAGAAATCTGTATGCAGGACAAGCCCGTTCGACTCGGGCCCGAACCATGCCTGGGAATTCCCACGTTTTTGTCTGTAAAATCGACGCAACACACACAGGCCGAAGCACACTTTTTTCTTGATTTATCCAGCAACAAACCATGAACACAACCATCGTTTGGAATGAGTTGAACATCAAATGGAACCATATTTTGAGTTCGAATTTCTTCGCATACATCCAAGGGGAATGAGGATAAGAAAGGCTCGGTGGTGGATGTCACACCTCCACTCATTGTAAGGGAGGCCTGGGATTCTGGAGGAGAGCTCGTTCGACTCGGGCCCGAGCCATGCATTCCAAAGATTCCGTTTTTTGTCTCTATATCTCATCTGTGAGATGAGCGATGCAACTGTCACTCCTATCTTCAAAATCTCAACCGAAGGTGCAACTTTACTTCTTCGCGAACCAGGTTGTGGATTTTTGGGCTAATTCAACACATGGTATTTTTCAAGCATGTTCGAGGTCACAAGTAGAAACATCTCGGCTCGGTGGTAGATGGTCCACACCGGCACTTTGTATTGCGTTGATTCTGCTATTTCTGGAGGAGTAACCTGTTCGACCCAGGCCGGAGCCATGTGCTAGGGAGGATTTTTTTTTCGCCTACAATTCCTGATCTGTGAGATGAGCGATGTAATCTTCACTCGTATCTTCAAAATTTCAACCTAGATTGCAACTCACTAGCACATTATCGAACGAGCCTCTTGATGTTTCAGTCTGTTCAATCCTCAATTTTCCAGACACACACATTGACAGTCTTGAGTAGGTGATGAAAGGCTCAGCAGTAGATGGTCCACACCTGGGTCCACACCCGCAATAATTGATTCTTCAGGGCCTTGGATTGTCTGTAGGCGAGCCCATTCGACCGGGTTCTGAGCCATGTATTTCATTTTTTTTTTCCCTCTCTCAATCCCTGATCTGTGAGATGAGCAGTCGATCCAATTGTTGCAATCTCTTTTTTCGAATTTCCACCCAGGCCGCAACTTTAGCGACCCAGCTTGTAGCTTTCAAACTGATCGTTCAAAACCTGATATTGGCACTACCACATAAATCACAGACTCCAAGTTGATAAAATCCTGGCAAACCGTCCACCAGAAGGAAAGAAATCGGCATTGGCGCCGAAGAAAGTCCTGGAGACTTGGTCGGGAATACTGGCCGAAGAGGGTATGATGCCCGAAAACTGGTTGAGGGAACCCAGAGTTTTAGTGGGTGGTCGAGCAATGCAAACCCGGCCAGACAGCGGCATAGGGTGACTCGGTAGCCCCACACTGCCCGAAAAGGGCGTGCGTGTGCGCATTTCTCTGGGAGGTGAAGCACACCCCCTAATTTCTTTACACACAACCTTTACGGGTCGCTGGGCTAACCCATTGTTAGTTGCGGTTGACCATTTATCGTACCACCAAAAACAAAAACAAAAAAACAAAAAAAAAACCTGATATTGGGGGCTTGCAGATAGTTCGTAAGGGAGCCCGTTCGACTCGGGCCCGAGCCAAATGTTGGAATGTTGTATTTTTCCTCTCTCTAAATTCTGATCAGTGAGTCCAACCGTAGCCCCCTGCTATCTTCCAAATCTTGGCATCACCAAAAGCGGAATGGCTGCTCTTGACTTTCATCATCCTTTCTCCAGTTCTGTGCCTGGAGTCAAAACCCCGCCCAACCTTCAGGCTTCTAGTGCTGTTCACTTACGGATTCTTCTTTTGATAGGCCCCACCACACTCTCGTCTATTGATCTATCCCAGCGCTCTCACTGGAACAGATGTCAGCATTTTTATGTTTCAGTTGCAAGTTGCATCCAAAAACCGCTCACAGTTGTCAGTAAATAACTTTTATACAGTATATGTGCCATACTGGGGGAAAGGCCAGGCTCATCTTCTAGATGGGTTTCAAACCCGCTGGCATCCACATCTACCACAAACCGTACATATCGATCCCTAAGCGGACGCTCTAGACAATGTTTAATTTCCAAGTGAAAGACACCTGGAAATCGAATTAGCAGGGGGGAAATATAAAGGGAAGATATAGACCTGTCCAGTCCGTCCCATGAGGGAAGATGGCCTTCCGGATTTGGTCAATGTAGGCTTTGAGATATGATCAATTGGCAAGGGATATGTGAAGATCACCCAACGTCGGATTAAGAACTTCAAGAAATTTAACGGCAAGGTAGGATTTGACGATGGGGTTTCGCAGAAAGCGACGCGGTGTCAAGTCTGGCAGATGTTCCTGGAACCGCGGTAGCAGATCAAGTATTTCTGTTTTGACCGCCCGAGGTGTTTTAATAGGCAAAGGAATCGGATGGTGATGAGCACCTTTCACAGCGACCAGAACTTTGGGGCACTCGGCGCGATACTTTGCCAGCGGGACGTATGCGTTCACCTTGCAGTTGCATGGGAGACGGTCCATCTCGAACTGGACGAGATCTCCCGCCGAGTCTCGGTGCTCAAAAGCTGTATGATTATTGTTTTGATATTGCGCTCGACTCGAAGCTGAAGACATACGGTAAAGAGTCTTTTGGGACGAAAAGTTGAACACAGTGGTGCAGTCAACCAGTGGTCTGTATCCGAGCCCAATCTCAGCTTCTTCTATATAGGAGACATCTTCCTCGTCCCCAGAGAAGAGCGCCTCCAGATAGTGAATGTCGTACGAGCTATCTGAGATGGCCGTGTTGATATAATGGTCCTTGTTGTTGTGGGTCGAATAGTGTTCGCATCTAGAGCTAAGTAATAAGAAGGTTCCCAAAGTTAATTTAAAGACGCACTTAATAAATGGTTTTCCTCCAAGTCGTAGGATAGATGCAGTCTACCTTCACACGAATCCGTCTTGGCCACGTAACCGCGCTGGCGATGGAAAATCAACGCATCCTGAATCTCTTCCTCGTCGGAGTCAAAGATAGTCTCTTCGCACAGGTGAGCACTGCAGCCGATTTTGCGAAGAGCAGCCACGAGGGCAGCGGTTTTCTCAAGGATGTCTCGGGATGGTGATGCCCCACTGAGCCGTGCATCTCGGTCATTCCGAAGTCTCTCCCTAGATACATTACATATACTACACCCCACCCTGCAGTAACTTTCTCATACCTTGGCCATACCTTGCCCAATTGCTGAAGTCGCTTCACATTTGGAATTTCAAAAGTTTATATTTTCTAGTAGTCCAAGAATTGTGGAGATCAGCCAAGATTTGAGCAAGATACGAGGCCAACTACAACAAGGGGGGTTGTTGGAGCGTTGCGAGGGAAGGCGAGGTTGCAGAGAGCCAGTTAGGTGGATAGCGGATTGAGGCGAGAATGATGTGCACGCCTGCCTGAGCCATACATTCGACTTCAAAGCATGATCTGTCCATGCACTCCGGTCTCGCTTGCAAATTATACTCGTTGGTTAATTTCACCAAGGGAGTGACGTACACTACTGTGGGAAGGATCATCTTTCACAGCCTGGCATGCCCATCAAAGTCTACAGCACCTCAGCTTCTCCGGCGAGCATCCATCCGTTTCACGAGCCAGCCAGACTACGACCCATCCGACCCTCCATTCCTCTCTGCCTATGTTCAACAAGCTGTTGAAGAAAGTGGGTGCTCGGGGTTCCGAAAACAACCGCGTCTCTCCTCCGAGTCCGCCGTCGTTCGCCTCGTCGTTCACCTCCGCGCCGCAGGCAAACCCCAGCACCTTAACCGTCGGGCCCACGCCCGCGGGGCTCAACAACTCGAACGAAGAGTTCCTCCCTCTCCGCGACCCGTCGGACGACGATATGCTCGGAAACCTGGCCGCGACAGTGCTCTACGAGTTCGTCCCGCCCAGGCTCACGCCCGCGGGGCTCAACAACTCGAACGAAGAGTTCCTCCCTCTCCGCGACCCGTCGGACGACGATATGCTCGGAAACCTGGCCGCGACAGTGCTCTACGAGTTCGTCCCGTCGCTGCCCGACGAGCTGTCGATCACAGTCGGCGAGGTCGTGAACATGGTGTCCGAATACGACGACGGGTGGGCGCTGTGCACGAACCGCCGCGGCGACAAGGGGATGGTGCCGTGCGAGTGTCTCCTCTTCCCCGCGGTCGGCGAGCGGTCGCAGCAGGGCGTAATGCGCAGCAGGGGGTCTGGAAGCGGTTCTTCTCAACAGCCGCCACCGTACCCCACGCCTGCCGTTTCTACGCAGA